GACTTTTAAAGATGCAAATGTTTTTTGTAGGTCAGTTGCTGTAATGAGTGATGCAAAAAAAAGAAAAAAAGCCAGCAGTCCCAGTCGGATTGCTGACAAATAGATGGAGGATGCAAGAAGACACTTCTTCAAACCACATTCAAGCAGACGACTCTGCCTGCCTGCCTTAATCCACCGAGTATTCATCAACTACAACGCAATCTCCCCGAATCTAGCACGGTGATTAAACACCCCGGAGCCTTTAAATTCAATGCAATGGCTCGGGAAGTGCCAATAAAGCCCCCGGCAGTCTATATCCCATTTGTGATTTGTTGTTCGCCGCGATTCAAATGGGCTTACTCGTGTTTCATTTCCAGAGTTCTGAGGTGAAATGAGTTTGACAAGCAATTTTCAATGCTAGTGTAAGAAAAAAAAAGAAAAAGAAGAAGAAGAAGCGAGGAAAAAGATTCTCAATCTAATTGGGAGTGGTGTCATCTGGTTTCAGGGTACAGAAGAAACAAACAAGAGCCGACCATCTTCAAAACAGTTTTTTTTTTTAACTCTAATGGAAGATACAAGCATACAGAAATCATAAGCGGTTGATATTTAAAAAGCATTCTTGCATCACATCCAATTTTTAGCAGAGATCAAAGTTGAGGCGTAAACTTCCTGTTTTAAAATTCAGCCCGGATAACGGGGGGCAGACACTACAACATCCATATCAGATTAGGACTGGGTATAAAAGGAGCTTCCACCAAAGTGGAAACTGCTCATAATGGGAATAAACTGTGACTCAAAGTGCTAAACCCGACCCTGAAAACATGTAATCAGTTATTGAAGCACATTGAACAACAAAAGACAGACAGACTGTGTGTGTGTGTGTGTGTGTTTGTTTTCGTGATATATCAGGACACTTTTGCGAATACACACCTTCAATATCAGGACGCGTAGAAATATGAGGACACTTTTCGTGTCCTCATGTTTCTGAGCATACTAGAGTGTTAAAGAAGCCCCAAAATGCCCCTAAACCAAATATCTCCAATGTCCCAAGAACCTTTGGAAAGCCACGTACACATTTGTCCTATTTTCGTCATGCGTCCCTATATATAATGAAAACACGTATGTGTGTATGTGTGTGTGTATATATCCTGTCCGAATTGTTTGCATCACTATCACGAGTGGGAAGTTTAGACCACGACCACCAGTGTGCTCAGCCTCTAAAATCTTGTATTCAGAAAAAATGGACACAGATTAAGTCTCCTCACTTTAGAAACAGATTAAATAATTCAAACAAATAATCAAAAAGGGCAACGCAAATGTAAACATGAATGTATCCGAAAATGTGTGCACACACTGAAAGAATTTTGTTTGGCTTTTGTTTGTAAAACTTAAGTTTAAACAGATCCAAACATCCTAAAGTTTCTTTATAGACTTTCCCAACGTCTCTGGGAATGGGGGGTTTGTAGTTGTGTTGAACTACATGCAAATTTGACACAGCAGAGACCTCAAAACCTACGTTTAGTTTCCCCTAATGGCCGAAAAATACGACATTCATTTGATCATAAGTTCGATTTCACAGGATCAGCGTCTGACAACAAGTTTGGAGCCACCCGGCTGTTTTTCCCCAGATAGAAAACACCATCGATGTCAATCAGTCTGATGCTCAGCCAGTGACACCTGGTTCCTACCCGTCTGAGTTAGGAACTGACAGCTCGCCGTTGGAACATTACTTGCAAACAAGCCCAACAAAACGGCACGCAACCCAGTTTCAATATTTATCTGGAGACACAAGGACCAACAACCACACACACTCACACTAAGGGCAGTTTGGAGTCCAACAACCTAACATGCAGGTTTTTGGACTGTGGGAGGAAGCCGGAGAACCCAGAGAGAACCCACAGACACAGGAGAACATGCAGAACCACCCAGAAAGGTCCTGGTTCCCCCGGGGACTCCAACCCAGAACCCTCTGGTCCTGGTTCCCCCGGGGACTCCAACCCAGAACCCTCTGGTCCTGGTTCCCCCAGGACTCAGACTCAGAACCCTCTGGTCCTGGTTCCCCCGGGACTTCAACCCAGAACCCTCTGGTCCTGGTTCCCCCGGGGACTCCAACCCAGAACCCTCTGGTCCTGGTTCCCCCGGGGACTCCAACCCAGAACCCAACCCAGAACCCTCTGGTCCTGGTTCCCCCGGGGACTCAGACCCAGAACCCTCTGGCTGTGAGGCCATGGTGCTAACCACCACACCACCGTGACACAGCTCAGATTCTACGCTAATTGTCGTGTGGAAGAACGTCCACTGTGGGTTGCTGGGCAGAGGGAGAAATCACGCACCACGCAAAAACAAACAAACTGAGCATTTGCTGACCGCGGAGTGACCGGCGAGCCTTTCGACCGCCGAAACCGTGTTTGACAGATGACTCAAAGTCCTCTGACTCAGACCAGCAGCAGACCACCAGGCATTGGGCCTTTTTCAGCCACTGTGGATGTGGATGAACACGCCTGTGTTAGAACTGGCCTATAAGGACTCCCATTATCACCATCACTTATTTTAGACCTATATATATACATATAGTTACTTTTACATGTATTATTTATTATATATATTCAATGTGGAATTTTGTATATATAAATGTATATATATGTATAGACATGCATATATGTATATGCTGTTTTATTTCTGGAGTGAGTAACAAAATAATTTCCCTCTGGGATTATTAAAGTATTTCTGATTCTGATTCTGATTTAGCACAGTATGTTATAACTTAATCCATGTAAATGACTGATTGCCTTATTCCTGTTTAGAAATATATTATCCCTTTTTGAATTATACTCTTGTGTTAAACTCTCTGGCTGAGCCCACACATCTTACTCCTCTCTCTGTTACAGTAGATGCTCGTATTCCAGGTCAACATCCACTCTTTCTTATCACATTCCACCGAAACCTGCATGAATTAGGACCTGGCCTGTTCACGTCAGAGCTAACTGGCCAATAACACTCGTCCTCCTGTTTGAGGCCCAGAGCAAAACTGTCCGAGGCTCTTACCAACTGAGATCCTCCGCGAACTTTTGTCACTTTAGCACAGTATGTTATAACTAGAACATTTCTAAAGAAATTTTGATAGGGGGCCACCTACTGCTTTTTGGTCCAGGAACCCGGGGCTGGCTTCCTGGGGCCCTCAAAAGTTGGACACGGAATATCTGGGCTCTTTATATATATATTTTTATATACTTTTGGGTTAAACCTTTTGGCTGTGCCTCCTCCTCCTCTCTCTGTTAACGTAGATACACGTCTTCAAGCTCAACACTCACACTTTCTTATCAAATTCCACCAAAACCTGTATGAATTAGGACCTGGCCTGTTCATGTCAGAAGAGGAAAACTGTCCATCACACCCGGAAATCGAGGCTCTTTGCTAACTGAGATCCTCTGTTAGCTTTTGTCTGTAAGAACCCAGCTGATTTACTCTGTTTGTGACCAATAAAAGTCATATTTTTACTCTTGATCTACTCTGGTTTATTTTCTCAGGCTTCAGACTAAAGGGGCTGACACTTGTTTGAATCGTTCTCCGGGACTCCGTGGAGAGCAGGATTACACGTACCAGATTAACCCCAGTGGGGTGAGCACATGGGGGGGGGGGGAGGGGGGGCAGTAAAGAGAGGAGAGATAAACAGCTGGTTGGAAACCAGCAACCTCCCTCTGAGCAAGGAAGAAAAGGTGCTACTTCAATGGAGTTTTTTTGGAAAAGCAAAGAAGAAGAAGGGGAAAAAAAACCCAGATTAAAGGCGCCGTTGCTCGTTTTTTTCTTTTTTTTTTCCCCTCTGCTTTGACAAGAAGATTGCAGACTGCAGTCGATTTATCGTTCTTTGTCCTCATCTCTCGTCTGGAGGGCTGAGGAGCAGCAGGTGGGATCCTATCACACCGGAGCAGAAGGAGCTTTGCAACCAGCGTTCTTACACATTTCACATTTGTTTACCGCGTACAGGAACAGAAAAGCTGTTCCTGTATGCGAAAAACTCCTCGGCAAAAGCAAAAAAATCTCCCCGAAAAACATC